GTGTGTGTGTGTGTGTGTGTGTGTGTGTGTGTGTCTGTGTGTGCGTGTGCGTGTGTGTGTGTGTGTGTGTGTGTGTGTGTGTTTTAGATTTCCCCACAACAGCCCCAATTCCACCCAGGTGAATAGATTCAGAATCAAAGCAGCCTTTGTCCTATTGCAGACAACGTGAGCATTTGAGATGTCCAACATATTAAAGCAATTTTATAACAGGACTTAAGACTTCTGAAACAAAACCAAGAGGTCAGCCACATAGACAAGGCAGAAGCAATATAGTTAGTTCAAACTATAACATAACGAAATCACAGCACCAAACGAGACAGACAACAGACTCAACGCATACTCGTATTTCTGGGTGGGAGACATATCTATGTGTGTGTGTGTGTGTGTGTGTGTGTGTGTGTGTGTGTGTGTGTGTGTGTGTGTGTGTGTGCGCGCGACATTTGCATTTGACAGCTCCTTAGTCCATACTCGCACCGGATTTCTTTTCAACGTATCTGTCCGCAGTTACGGGCATACTGACTTCTGGGACCTTTTGGGACATTCTCACACTGGGACTTCGGGCAACTTAGGGCACACTCACACTCTGACTATCCTTACGATATGAGACCCTCTGGGACATACTCACACTGTGCCACGCCTGCCGCGGCATCGCTGCGGCGCGCCTCTGACATGTTACCTTTCATTCTTTTTTGTATTTCATATCAAACTGAGGACGAAGCTACACACACACACACACACACACACACAAATGGCTCACCCTGAACCAAGCCCATGCAATTTCCTCTCTCTCTCTCTCTCTCTCTCTCTCTCTCTCTTATCCAGACGGAAGTAGAAGACTGAGCGATGGAGGATGGAGGACGTCCGGAGGAGAGAAGAAGAAGAAGAATCCTCTCTCCCCCTCTCTCTCTGCTGGTAGCAGATACTGACCGTGTGAAGGTATTGCCTTGAAGTCGGTACTGGAGTGCTGAAGACGAAGCTGGAGCTATGGCGCCCCCTGGTGAGTCATCAGGTAAGTCCCAGTGTCTGGCCTCCGCCTCTCTCCTGGTGCAGTCTCAACTACAGCCTCCACGCTCGCTACTGCGGCCAGCGCTCAAGACTAATGCAGCATAACACTGAATACTAACTCACACTAAGGCCTCTCCTAGGTCCTACTGGCCTAAACGTCAGGACCAGAATGAATGGCCTGGGAAACAATCTGGCGGTACACTTGGATCGAATCTGACGGTCCAAGTGTGGCTTGGGAAAAAAAGGAGGCCAGGGCCTGAACCGTTACCGGTACCAGGGCCTGGCCAGGCCGAACCTGGTGTGGGCCTAAAACGGCCCTTTTTCTGGCCTGAACCGACACAGGCCCTACTTCGGGCCACAAAACTAATGTGCCAGCCCGAAGCTAAGTCCCTACCCATCCTATCTACCTGACGGGTCCTACTGGGCCCGTGTGGGATCTACATATGCCACACCTGCCCTGTACCATGCTAGCATTCGTCAGCTTAGCATCTAAATCTCAGGCCATCTTATTGAGGGAGGTAAAGTTATTCCTAGTGGTTGTGGCCTCAGGGGTCTGAAATAGCCGGTGAGTAGGATTTCCAGATCGTACCGGACTCCTGGCACCATGATCAGTTTCTCTGCCTTTTCTTTGACAACCAGTGAGATTGAGAGAGGGGGGAGGGACGGTGTTCCATCCTTAGGCTCCAGCATTTTTTTTAATTTTAAAAAAAAAAATTTTAAGACCATTTCTTGACTTATTTGAGTCATCCTTGAGCAGGGCCATGCCAATCTTCTCTATATCATTCCAATTTTAACCGATGTCCCAAAGGACAGGCTCAAGCATTTCTTTAGAAGAAAACAATGTGATCTCTCACTTGTGTAAGGGGGTACCCTGTCGTTCCATTGCATCATTTCTTCCCAATCCCTGTTGGGAACCAGCTCTATAATGGATTAAATGTGCGTCCCTGCTGTTTTTTTTTCATACATGCCCATCACACACAAATAAAAAGGTGTTGGAGTATACCATCACTGTGGATATAGAGAATGCAATGGTAAATGATCCATCACATTCCAGAATCGATCTAGGACATCACCAACCTGGTATGGAAAAGTTCTGCCCAAAATGACGACAGGAATGTTCCCCACAGCAGCGGTGATCTCATCATCACCCTCCTCGTCAACTTGCTCTTCAAGCTCATCAATGATATCATCATCACTTTCCTCTTCCTCATCCTCCATGCCATCACCTTGTCCAGTATCATCACCCTCCCTCACAGCATTGCTCAGAGCCACCTCCTCAGTTGTGGCTTGTTGGGCACTGTTATTATTTGCTGCATTGTCACTATCCTCGTCATGAAAACTCCTTCCGTCCTCATCACCACCTAATGATGGCCACTGAACCTGATCTGCATGCTCGGGATGATGTGCCTGAGGTCTTCTGTGCCTGGGTGTCACTTCTTCACTTCCAGTGGTCCCCAGACCATTACCGCCATTAGCATCCATGCCTGCTCCTGGTCTGTCCTGGTTCACAGACCCCTGCACATGCCCGGCAGGATGGCTTTCAGCTGTGTCCCTCCGAGGACTATCAATGGCAGCAATTCCGGAAGAACCTGCTGGGGCTACCCGAGAAGCTTGGGCACCTCCACCTCCACCAGCAGTATTTCTCTTCAGGGCTTTGGATAGAACTGCATACTTGTCCTTGTCCAATAGTGGTTTGCATAAGGGAAAAGGAACCCACCTGCCAGTTGAAGGAGACAAAAGCACAAATTGCAAGTCATATTGATTAGACGCGTCTCTCTCTCTCTCTCTCTCTCTCTCTCTCTCTCTCTCTCTCTC